CTTCTACGGTACCTTTTCCCTCTTTATTCCACAAGTATTTGCCAGTCTCTACCACAGACAACGTGTGTGTTCCATGTTCTCTCCTGCACAACTCAGAACCAATAGCATTGGATCAATTGAATCAAGCCATGTTGAATTGTTGCAATCAGAAAACAATGCTCCTTGAAACTCTACCAGCACCGTGTGTGTAGTCAGCCGCTGAGAGGATAATTAGGTATTGACAAAAAAAAAAACCCAAAAGGACAGTGGACACAGGATTTACAGTCATCTTCAGGATCTGATTATACCGTTTACAGAATGTTTGGCCTACATTATGGGAAGAGCAAACATTTCATGTGTCAATTAGAGGCAACTTCCTAAGAACAGAAAAAAATCATCTGAGGCCTTAATTGGGATAATGCAGATCCCCCGCAGCTGCACGTGAGGCCTGACACACTTATGACTCCTACACTCACTCCCCGGAGCGTGATATATTATGTGTTATTCACTGGACACAGCCATTTTGGAAGCATGTGGGGGAGGCGAAGTGTGGGGTTCATGCTTCAGTTGGTGTAAAAGGACACTAAATGGCTTGTTAAGAGTCAATTACTAGATTAATGCTATCTTGGTGCCCACAAAAACATTTAAAGGACAGTGATCAGTCCTGGCTCTTTGAGCGTTTAATGTTTTTGTCGGTCAAAGGCCCTAAGCAGCAATTTTCTTAATCAACTTGTCATTGTAAAATATGGGTTATACATCAGAATAATCACTTATGTTTGCACACTTATACGGGGGCCAGCGGAGCGCATAATTTGCATACATGATTTGGCAGGGATTTTTATGCATTTGTCTGGGATTAGAATAGCTGCGGCAGAGGAAACTGACTGTGAAGTGGGCTCCCTGTAGAACTGCTGTCTAACTGCAGGTGTCAACGCTGAGACCCAACAACTGACTGTGAGTCTGACCCGTAAACAAAGCTGGTACAGAAACATGGGTGGTATTTTTACTAACTCTGATATAAGCCAGCGTTTTAACTCAAACTGTAATAAAACAAATACAAGTTTCCAGACATTGTGCATAAATTGCTCAACTGTCTGGTAATGACATGAATGCACATGCTTGCACGTGTTATAGCCAACCAATGACGTCATAGGGATTACTGCATTCACCAGTAATCTAAATAATTCAGCTACATTGTCAATCAAAACACTCAACTCTGGATATTTCTGTTTTATAGTTTATAAGCGTTTATACCAGAAATAGCTGAGCAGATTATACAGTACATAACAAATATCAAAGTGTAATATTAATACAGTACATGATGCTTGACACTGTCTGCTCCACGCTCACTGTGTGAGATGTGTTGTTGAGCACCACCTACTGACAAAAAACACAATTGCAATCTCTATTTTAACACTCAGGGAGGGCCTGAAAGCCCAGCTGCAGGTACTTTGGTGTAATTACTATTGAGACTAAAGAACAAGAACAAAAGTTGCAGTTTGGTGACGATATTATAACCTTATTTTGTTTTGGTGATTTCAATTCAGTTTCCTAAATATTAACCAGTGTTAATGTGTACTTCTTATTTCCGTTTACAGACTGTATATGCTGTTTTAGTATCCTTAGCATTTCCATATTTGTCCACCAACCCTAAACAAACTGTAGACTGTAAAAGCCCAGTGTCAAGTCAGTTTCATTCCTATAGCAATGTTGCCTCAGTGGACTTTACTGTTTTAAAATTAGAATTAAAACTCTCCTAACAACCGTGCAGGGAAATGGGTGAATATATACACAGTCAATATTTTATTGAGTGTATGTTCACAATATAAAGTACAGCAGAATAACTTTTACAAATATTATTGAAAACCCAAAAGAGATCAGACGAAAACAAAAGCTCTCTTTTAAACAGGAGGAAATCTCCACCTGATCCAAGCTTAGAGTTCAGGCGTCTGCCTCAGCAAAGTCAGCAGAGGGAGCAGGAGCAGACATGAAGTATAATACAATAATAAATTGCTGTCTTGCAAAAAAAGTTGTTGTCATTAAGATGGAATGTGTTTCCCTGGACGGTCATTCCTAATTGGTTGGCCACGTCCCTCACTTGCAAAACCCAATTCTTCAGTGGATGTTCCTCTAACACCTGTTCCTAAAGCCCGATCCTGTTTCCAGGTAACCTGCTAATCCAGCAACCTCCTGTTATTGCTTTTCCAGTATTGCCTCAGATGTAACAACATTTGCACTGTGTTGCAATACATTTGTTAACGTTTGACAAATGCCAGTTACAGGAAACAGTTAAAGCAGAGGTTCCCGACAGTTCCCTATGGTTTTTTTAAACTGTGACCCCATTTTGATATCACAGATTTCTGGTGACTCACGTGATCGCAGCCGTCAGTTAAAGTGAAAGAATAATCTTAAAAGAAATAATAATTTGTTGAAAACCTATTTTTGAAAAAACAAAACAAACAAACAAAAAAACAGTACTAGACATACCGATGCCACATGGGGCCACGACCCCAAGGTTTAAAAACCACTGATTTAAAGCCTTTGTGTGTCATTCGCCTTAGTTTTGTTGCATTTATGACACACATGAATCATATCATTTACACTGGGTGGAAACTGGGACACACATGACTAACAAATTGCACCTGACTGGGTCACGGGCTTCTCTGCATTTCTGTAGCTCAGTGAGTTTTATTACCCAGAGCCAGCAGAAGCTCCGCCGCTCTGTGGAAGACAACGGAGGCCATCTGTCGTCTGCATGTTGTCTTTGGTGCCCTGCCATGAAATTCTGCTGCCAGAAAAACACCCCAGGGTAACCGTGTGCACCTTGACATGCCTGGAGACTGTCTGACTGAAGCACCTCTAAAACCCACGAGCTCCGCTCCGGGGACACGTCGTGTATTCTGCCAAAGCCCAGAAACAGGAGCAGCTGTGTTTGAAAAAGCACTTTGTCAAAGCAGGATTGTTACATAACCATGCTATTAACCTTAACTGGAGCAGCTTGGTGGGGAAAAAAGAAAACACTTTCACATTTTGGGGACGGGCCTGTGACTAATTAAACTGAATTGCAGAACACTTATGCATGCTAAACAGTTGAGGGAAAAGTGAGTAGTGAGTGCTATAAAACGAAACAGACATCACTGTCTGGCACTGAAAACTGAGGCTGTTACATAAAGACTGAATGTTACACAATTACGGTGAATCATTGCTCTGTTCTGCCGATGCTTCTCAGTAAACAGTACGACACTGATTTAGTTCCCATATTGAATGTACTGTAATTGTCTGTAGTCAAGGAAACATTCATATATGAGGGTGTGGGGAAGATAAGGGGCGCCTCCCTTTGAAGCAGCGTTTGCACCTGTTGGGTTACTGATGTAGACCTGAGGCTGTGAACACTCTTTATATCAGCAAATATAATCGACAGTGAAGCGTTACATTTCAGCAAAATCTGGTGTGCACTCAGATTGATTTGCAAAGACGATTATGCCGACTCCTAGAACAGTATTAACCACAGCTGCAGGTGTTTCAGAAACAGCAGCTTCTTGTTTTGACTACAGGTTATACGCATGTGATTCATATAATTCTGTTCACGCTGTGTCTGTGACTCACATTTCTTATCGAATCTTTTCGAATCTCTTTGACACAAGGACATACGTACAGCGAGGTGGAAAAATAAGCTCCTGTGAGCAAGTTTCGCCTTTAACTGAAAATAGCTAAAGCAGCATCTTAGTGTTGCAATAAGCTGCAAACACACATCAATAATTCAGCTCTAACAGAGCCCCAGTCGGAGGTGTTTGGAGTGTGTTCTCTGAGTCTCCAAATGGTTTGTGAATGTCATCAGCTTTGGCTGTCAACTGACAGATTGTGGAAATACACTGTAGTAAATAAGAGTGTAAACATGAGATGAATCAGCCCTGTCAACAAGCAACGCAAGCAACCAAGGGAGGACACGTGGCATATGAGTCTGTGCTCAGCCTATACCAGATGGGCAATTTATTTCATCGCAGTAGCTAATGACTTTCACAACAACACTTTTCAAATTCATACAGTGAGTCTGCTAGAAAAGAAAAAAAAACTGAGAGAACAGTAAAAGGATTCATCTTATATATGTTTTAGTGTTCACATATGCAACACATAAGCCTATAAATTAGCTGTAGTGCATTATTATTTAATGTTTTAAGGAGCTATGAAAGATTTGTTAACCAAGTATTTAAGGATCTAATTGTATGTCATTCCCTGTTTCCAACTACTACTAGTACTAGACTGTACAGTATCTGCAGGTCCTTTGACTAAGAAAAACATAAACACTATTTTACCAGTCTATTACAGAGACACATACACAAATGATCTGTTTTTTAAACAGAAAAGAACAATGCAAACTGATTGCTTTTCCACGCCACGTTTGGAGCTCTGCTACCACTAGAGGTCAGTGTAACATTTTCCATAACTTTATAATAAAGTTCAATACACATGCTGGGCCCTTGGTCCCTTCACATTCGTCTGCAGTGTCAATCAATATAACAATCAGACTCCAAGTGTTGTTTCTCTCCCTAGTTCCTCAAACATGTTGTCATGTTCTTGTCGTGCGTGTGATACAGCACCAGAGATGGAGCATTCAGACTCTCTCCTCCAAGTCATTACTCCCACTCCTCCCTATAATTTTATTTTTATTCAGCCCTCTTAGAACTGCTGTGTTGTAATCTCATGATGAAATTGTGGCCGATTTTACTAGGGCAGTGGTGTCGAACTGGATCACTCAAGGGGCCGAAATTTAAAAGACAGGGTAAGTTCTGGTCCAAACACGATAGGCGTTCACTGTGCTTACAAAGTTTTAACCAGAAATACTAAATTTGAAGAATGGCAAGCAACTTTTCTATTGCTAAAAAGGCATAGAAATAATACTTCCATTCTCCAGGATGCTGGAAGGAAGGTTAAGAAATCAACGTGCATTAAAAAAAATAAAAAATAATTTACGGGTCACTTAGTTGTCGTCTTCCACAGTGAAGAGAAAGACACACTCAAGTAGCAGTTCACAATTTATTTACTGAATAAATTTTGGACAAAACACCAGAATCTGTTACAATACAATCAGAACATCTGCGGCAGATATCCCACCATGCACCACACCCCTCCATGAAACAAAAAGGACTAAACATTAGCACCAAATCAGGACCAACTTAGAGAGAAGGTAGCTCAGTCTAGAAAAAGAAGCGATAGCTTTTTTTTTTTTTTGGAAAGCAAAATGAGAATTTTTATTCTAGAAAAAAAAAGGAAAAAAGAATCCCACCCTCCCCCCTCCTCCAATGGCAGGCTATAGCATTCATGGGGCACATGCCAACTAGATAAAAACACAAATTCAAGTAACATTAAGATATGAAATAACATGTCCACTGGTACTCTTTTTCGAGCATGACCTTTTCACAGACCCTACGCAGGCAGTAGAAAATTAACATGAGGTCCCGGAGTGAGCACGTCGTAGCAATACTATCACAGAATATTTTTGTATCAAGTCTTGAAAAAAGAAGAAAGAGGGAAGAGACCGGGGCGAGTCGGGCAGTGGGGCCACAGGAATACTGGCACAGAAGATATTATGTACTCTAAAACTTCAGACAGACGTTCCCACACTGTGCCTGTCCTGTGTCAAGATATTGCCTACATTATACATGAAAAGGGAATCTGTGAAAAAGAAAAAACCCTGCAATGTAGTTTTAAATATATATATATTTTTCTATTTATTTATATATTTATATATAACTGTTACAATTTAAATAAATGTTACGTCCTCGTTCCTACAAATGGAGAATGACTTTAAATAAGAGCTAATTTTTTTATTTTTTTTTTATTTTTTAAAGAGGCGGATTCGTCCGTTCGCTTCACACAGGGTGTCGCGCTTGGAGGTTTAACCGAGAATATGCTTAAAGTCTGAGGTTTTGGGAGTGATATTAAAGCAGCAGTAACAACAGACTGGAATAGCTTAAAACGAAAGAGAAATGAACACCGGTAAAGGATGGTTTGAAAATGAAGTGTGGGGTTGGATGGTGTGGTGAGGCAAGAGGAGAAATGAAGAAAAAAAAAAAACAGACAAATAACAGAAAACACAATCAAGCAGCTGGGTGACTTTTAGAAATGTTAAATGGAAAATAAACAGATTGAGATAAAGCCAAAGCTTCTCTGTTTTAAACCAATGTTCCCAGCAATAGTTTTTTTTTTTTTTTTTTAAGATGGCGAACAACTTACGGCCCTGGGTCTGTGGCTTGAAACTGGATTTACCTAAAGCTACGACCACAATCGAATCGAGCTCCGTGGTGTCGCAGTTCTTTAATTATTTAACAGTTTCCTGTGTAATGTGTCCCTTCATGCTTTCCATAGTGTCGGAAAAAGAAATAAATACAAATTTGGTGACTGTGTCTACTTTTATGAGCACCACATTAAACGAAACAGATCCAAAAAAAGGAACACTTGCTACATCTTTTGCAACTTACACGTTCAGCTGCGTCCTTGAACGAGGAGGTGCACGGCCAGATGACGTACAGATGCCTTTTGTCATGCCAGGCTAAAGGTTTTCCATGAAATGTTGGGGAGAAGAAAAAAAAAAACAGGATGGAAACACCTTTATTATGAGTGACAAACGTTCACTTAACAATCTCTAAACTACTGTTTTTGGCGAGCTGACCGTGGCGGAGTCTTCCATTTTGTGCTTGATGTTTGCTCAGCTGAAGAACTGCTCCAGCTCCTCTTCTATGTTCACCTCAGGCACCATCTGGTCCTGCTCTCTTTCTCCTCTGCCGTGCATCACGGCGCCCCCCACAGCCCGGGAAGAAGCGAACCAGGGGTGCTCCAGTATCTCCCGGGAGGTGAGTCGCTCCGCGGGCTCCCGACGCAGGATGGAGCGAATCAGGCACTTGGCCTTGGGTGTGAGCGTGTCGGGGATGTTGAAGTGACCCCGGCGGATTTTGCTGAACAGAGAGCCAGGCTCGACATCATGGAAGGGGTACCGCCCAATGAGGATGGTGTAAAGCATGACGCCCAGGCTCCAGACGTCAGCTGCTTTACCCGAATAGCTGCCATTGGCGTTGAGGATCTCAGGACTTACGTAGGCTGGGCAGCCATGTTTGTCTGAGAGAGTGTCATCATGACCCTCCAGGATATAAGAGTCCTCCAAACTCTCCAGCTTCACGAGACTCCTAGTAACACAACAGTGGAGGAAATTTTTTTTAATTTTTTGCAAACCCTTCAAGTTCACTACTCTGACATTCCCATTCACCACTTTCCACACACAAAAGCACTGACAGACAAATGGGT